TATGCTACACATCAAAAGGGCTATTGGTGCTATGATCCATCCTCCAAACGGACCTATGTAACTATGGATGTTACCTTCTCGGAGTCTGACACATTTTTTTCTCCAACATCCAATTTTCCTCTTCAGGGAGAGACAAGGGATGAAGAGTTGAATTGGTCGAAGTTTGAGTGGTCAAATAATACTGAGATAGAGACAGCTCCGATAGATATTGACTTAAGGAATAATATGACTCAAGATCCGGAACCAACTGTAGAAGCTGAACCAAACTCCACCGAACCAAAGCCCCCTTTCTCTTTATTATCCGCAGGGCCATCTCTTGAGAATATCTCTGAGGTAAGCACTCCTTCACATATAAGCAATTTAGATACTCTTGGTGGCTATAATTTACCTTTCAAGCATAATCGAGGCAAACCGCCAAGCAGATACTCTCCAGACATTGAAAAATGAAGATCAAGATATCCAGTTGCCAACTATGTATCCACCACGAAGTTATCTGATCCACTGAAAGCTTTTATACATGTTCTCTCTTCTAATCATGTTCCAACAGGAATTCAGGATGCCTTATCAGATTCCAAATGGACTCAGGCAATAAAAGATGAGATGGAGGCACTAGTAAAGAATAACACGTGGATACTAGTTCCATTATCTGAAGGAAAGAAGACAGTAGGATGCAGATGGGTATTTTCCATCAAACACAAGGCAGATGGATCCATTGAGCGGTACAAAGCAAGGCTAGTCGCGAAGGGGTATACACAGACATATGGGATAGACTACCAAGAGACGTTTTCACCAGTTGCTAAACTAAACACTGTTAGAATACTATTGTCCCTCGCTGCTAATCTTGACTGGCCACTACATTAGCTTGATGTGAAGAATGCATTTCATCATGGCGACCTTGAAGAAGAAGTCTATATGGACCTCCCTCCGAGCTATACAGGGTCTTCACAAAATATCGTGTGTAAATTGCAGCGAGCATTATATGGCTTGAAGCAGTCACCTCGAGCATGGTTCAGACGATTTAGTGTGGCAATGAAGAAATATGGGTTCAAACAGAGTGACTCAGACCATACACTCTTTCTTAAGCATAATGGAGGCAAAGTAACTGCATTGATAGTGTATGTGGATGACATGATTATCACAGGGGATGATAAAGAAGAGATATCCAGAATTCAGAAACAGCTGGCGTCTGAGTTTGAGATAAAGAACTTGGGAGGCCTCGAGTATTTCCTGGGAATTGAAGTGGTTAGATCAAGACAAGGCGTATTCCAATGTAAACCAGCAGATACTCCTATCACTCAAAACCTTAAGCTGAGTGAGTGTTCAGATCAAGTGCCAACAGATAAAGGGAGATATCAAAAATTAGTTGGCAAACTTATATACTTGTCTCATACTCGTCCAGATATTGCCTATCCCGTAAGTGTAGTTAGCCAGTTTATGCATAGCCCTAGCAAAGACCACATGGATGCTGTGACTCGAATACTTTGATATCTAAAGTCCTCACCAGGGAGGGGACTGATGTTTTCAAAGAATGATCACTTGAAAGTTGATGGCTATACAGATGCAGATTGGGCGGGGAACATTTCAAATAGGAGGTCTACCTCAGGCTACTTCATGTTTGTAGGCGGTAATCTCGTTACATGGAGAAGTAAAAAGCAAAAAGTGGTATCATTATCGAGTGCTGAAGCGGAGTTTCGTGGAATGGCAAAAGGACTTTGTGAACTCCTCTGGATCAGGAAACTGCTCACTAAACTTGGCTTTGCTCCTATTACTGAGATGGATCTATACTGTGACAACAAAGCTGCCATTGCCATATCTCATGACCCGGTTCAACATGATAGAACAAAACATGTGAAAATAGATCAACACTTCATTAAGGAAAACTTAGTAGCAAAGACAATTCATTTCCCTTTTGTAAAGTCCGATGATCAACTAGCAGACATACTCACAAAAGCAGTTTCAAGCAAGGACTTTCACAACTCACTTGACAAGTTGGGCATCAGAGACCTGTATGCATCAACTTGAGGAGGAGTGTTGGCGTGAGTTGTTAGAAATCTTTTTCTGGAAACATAAATCATATATAATTGTATCATTTTAAGGGAATAGAATTAGGCAATTATGTGTAGAATCAATTAATTAGCTACAGATTTGTGATTATCCAAAATTAGGATTTTTTTTTCCTATATAAACTCTGTAACCCACCTATTGAATGTATGAATGAAAATTACCTCTTGTGTGTATTGTGACATGTTGTGCTTTCACTTGAACTTCCACTTGATAGGTGTATACGAGGGTTTGCATGAGGTGAATGACGTGAAGTTGCACGCTCTTCCGTTTTTCTCTTGCTTGCTCTATTTCCCAATCTTGTTCTTCTTTGAGAATTGAAGGAAAATCGTAGTCATCCTCTTGAGTGTCTCATCATTTTTACTAACTTTTTAACCATCCTTTCTCTAAAAAAAATTATTATTCCAATTTATTTTTTATTTTTCTTTATTTTTATTTTTATTATTATTTTTTAAACCTCATTAAAATGGAGCACAAACAAGGGCAATATAAAAATGATTTGTTTTTCAAATTATGAATTGCTTATTTGTGGAGAGAAACTTAAGCTTAGTTATTATAGATACTAAAGGACAAATCCATCGAAATAGATTTTCAACGAGGATTAGTTATATGGCAGTCTTGAAAGTCCATTGATAACTGTCGGAAATTTGAAATTTAAAAGGTATTTTTAAAAATAAATAAATAGAACTCCATTGGAAACATTCTTCACAGGGCTTTCGTCTACGGGGTTTCCAACAACAATTTCCTGTTCTCCGACGGAGTTTGGGTCTTTGCCGGAGAAATAGTTGGGGCTGATCTTTCCCGTTCGATAGAAGATAGCTAAACAATAAAATAAAAGAGAAATATAATGAAATTAACATAAATGTGTATGTGTTTGTGGGGATAATCTATTTGGAAGATGGAACTTCTATGTGAAGTTAGTGAGAAGTAATATTAACTTAACTAACATGATATAACAACAAGTGCTTCAATTGGCCAAATATGAATCATGGCTTATTACCAAACATATGATTTTAGATTTGATAAAGAGGTAGTTAAAAGTTGTAATAGAGAAGCAAACTCACCCCATCATATTTCCTGCAAGATGGCAAAATGTCTTCCAAATATCCACTTTTAACTTGAAAATACCATGTTTGGCTTAGCTTAAAAGGGTTACGTACAAATAAGTTCTCTAAGGGTAAAATATTGGAACTCAAACAACACATGCATAAGAATTTAGACCACTGCAATGAATAAAGTTGACATTATAAGATGAAACTTCAGATCTCAATATCTTGTTAGAGACCATCAAGCTCAAATGAGGCATCAATCCGTCAAATAAGCTCAAAAGGGCATTCAGATTCACGCTTTGATATTCTCAAATGAACCACCATATCGCAGAACATATTTACTGTAAAATTTTACATCAATTGAATAAGTACTGATATGTAGGTAACTTTTATATTGACAAAAATTGAAGAAAGTAATATGAGTTCAGTTACTTTTTAAAACAAATAATTTTTGTATGCTTCAAAGAAAGGAAAAAAAGAAAAAAGAAACTTATGACAATAAAATGTTATTTTAAGGTTAGCCAAACTAAAGTTTGAGGTCCAAAAACCATTAAACTTTCAAACCACGCAACACAAAGGCAATCAAATGGCTCTAACTAACCGCATGCTGAGTATTAATTGGGCAGGCACCACCTTATTCTTTACGTTCTAACTAATATTTGAAAAATGAAAAAAAGAGAGAGAGTGTTGATTCTCCTAACAAACTATCAGAATCTATATTGACTGATTTGTTAGTAGGCTCTTGTAGGTGTGATAGTATTGTCTAATCAAGTTCTTTAAATAATTTTTGGGAGAATTGCAACTTGGGTCCTAAATCTTCCGAATTGTTGCAGACTATACTCAAATCGTTCATTTTTGCACACACAATCTCAAACATTTCATTTCAATTGCAACTGGATGATAAGTCCATTTTACAATCCAAAAATCAATTTGACCACATTTTGATTAATTTTAGAAGGATAAATTTGTAATTTTATATCTCCCCAATAAGATGATAAAACCAAGCAACGAAAAGAAAAGAAAAAAGAAAACAAAAGAAATAATTTGGAAAAGGTTCATCTTCTTCCTCGCCCCACCACCACCATTCCAACCAAACCAAAATCCACCCACTTCCACCACATCGATGGTCACTATCCACCCACCAAAGCCTCCATTGTTGTGTATAAGCGACGGTGGCTCTAGTCAACCGTTCCATTTTCCAACTCTTTTTTTAGACCATGTTTGAGTCGCATTCTTTTAAAAAAATACATTTTTAAACAGTGATTTGATATTATTTCAACCACACATTTTTCAATAAAATAATATTAAAAGTGAATCCAAAACTTTTTCTCATTTTTTAACCACACATTCTCCATTAATCTATATTCCAAAATATGTTCTTTCAAAATAATGTGGCTCAAACATGCACTTAGTCTTTTTTGATTGATATTCAAATTTCCCAAAATCAGCAATTCCCGGTATAATATATAAAAACATGATGAAATCAATGCAAGCCAAGATCTATACAGTTCTGCCTAATCAAATCGATCAAGACGATGGTGTATTTTGCAATTGTGGTTGTCCAAAATCTAATTTTTGCAATTGTTGAGTAATAGGTTTGGAACCAAATATGGTGGCAGTGTTGGGAAGATCTTCATTTCATGTTGGGTCATCTTGAGATTTCTCAACTCTAAAAGTTAGTTTAAGAGGTGAGGATTTCCCTCACAATTATAAACTGATCACCAGCCCTCTACAACAGACGTGGGATAACCTCACACATTGGGCCTTGTAGGAGACTAAACCTATCTCCCCCTCACACGACGGGCCATAGGTGAGACCAAATCTGTCTCCCACTCATATAAACTGGCATCTCCCGTGACTATGGGGCCTGAAACTTGTTGATAACTTAAACTCTGATACCAGTGTTGGTGGTATTGTATTTTCTCGACCCCCAAAACTAACTCAAGATGTGATGTTTTCCATCACAATTATAAACTAGCCATCAACCCCTTCCACAACGAATGTGGGACAATCTCAACATTTCATGAAATCACACTGAAGGTTTCGAGCGACTTTTGTTATCTTGGTGGCGGGTGTGTTGTTTATCTTTCTATTTGCTCAAATTCTTGAAAATAGTGGAGTTGTGCAATGGCAGTGACAGGTGGTTATAGGTTTTGGTTGGGTTGGGTTGGGTGGGGCAACGATTTGAGTTGTAGTGGTGCTGGAAATTGCAATGCGGCGTGTGCGAATTGTGATTTGATTTGGTTGAGGGAATGCTTGGCGACTACGACGATGGCAGGGGCGGATGGATTTTGGTTTGGTTTAAGTGTTGGAAGTGGGGCGGGAGATGAACAGTCTCAATCTTCTTCTTCTTTTTTTCCTTTTTATTTAATATTTTAGTTTTTTATTGAAAAATATAAAATCATAATTTTACCTTTTTAAATTTAATCAAAATGTGGTCATATTTTTCTGGGTTGACTAAACATTTGACCTTCAAATGCAATCAAAATGAAAGGTTTTGGACTATGGGTGCAAAAATAAAATGTTTTGGTATAGTCTACAATAACTTGAAAGTTTAGGAACCTCGATAAATCATCTTTTATTGCAAATGTACCAACATCCCCCATGTTAGAGTCGAGTTGAGAGATTAATGGGTTTGAAAGTCGAACACTATTTACTCAAGATCGACATATTCATACATAGCACCTGTTTGATATCTATATTTTTATAAATTTAGACTTTGTAATAGTGATTCTTTTTTTTTTTATAAATTTTTGATTAAAAAGTAGAAAGAGTTTGAATTTACTTACAAAATTATTTTATTAAAAGAATGTATAATTAAAAATAATTTTGTGAAACAATAGATTTTAGAGAATAGGAATCAAACAGCTTTAATTTTCTATAACTAGAAATTAATTGAAATTGACATATGAATATCATTTTCGTAAATTTATCAACTTTAAAGGGCATAAAAGTCAGCAAAAAACCCCAAGGTACACGTGAGTGTATTTTCCCGCTCAAATCATCTTAACCACCTGAAAGGACGAATTTACCCTCTACTGCTAAGTGACTGAAGTCACAGATTTGCTCCAAGCGAGGGTAATATGAGTCAAATGTCCATCGTCTGCCAGTCTGTTGCATTACGTATACAGTTGTGTATCTATATATCAACAGATTAATGGCACTGAAAATTACGTTCTCAAATTGCCCTTGCCTTCATACTGTACACACAATATATAAATCCCTCTCTTCTTCTCATAAACCCCTATTTTTTTTCTCACTCTAACACTCTGTTTTTCTCTCTAGAAAGGAACCGGAGCAGAAGAATTATTATCAAGAATAATTAAGCTCCGGTATAATTCTTCGTTGTTTAATCAGGTAATTAATTGATATCACTTTTCTTTTTATTTATTTTCATAATTATGCTCCTTTGCAATTCTTTGCTGTTTAATTAGGTAATTAATTGATTTGATCACATTTCTTTCTATTTATTTGCAGAATTTCTCGCACACTCAAACGCACAGTATGAGCGTGAACATATTTGCGAACTCTTTTTCTTTTTTCGGTCTCATGATCGGTCATGGTTTTAGGAGAAATTCGGGACTTGATTCTTGTTCATTAATCAAGAAACATGAATAAAGCTTTTGTGATTTTGGTTTGTATTCTATTGGTTGGATGTATTCGTGCGTATATGTTTGCATACATCATGTTCAAGCCATTGTTTCTTCAGTTACTCCATTAAATGATTTACCTGAATTGAATAAAATAGTGTCTTTATTCCATTAAATTATATATCAATTGAATGGAATATTTTCTTGAATGATTTCTACGTGTGTTGGGGTTGTGGGTATAGTTTTCGTGTTTTTCCAAAAGAAAAATGTAGTTAATCATTTCATTTATGTATTCTTTACATTTATTATAGTCAATGATTTTATATTCTAAATGTAATTCAATTGAATCTGATATTCATTGAATTGAAGCGAAAATTTGATTAGGTTTTATTGGGCAGGAAATAGGATTCTATATAATAAAAAATGCAGAGAGAAATCTCCAGCGACTATAATTTTGTCGGGTCACTCTATTCCTCAAATTTCCTGTCAAGTGGTTCACCTTTTCTCGATTATGTGACTGCCGATTCCAATTCCCCTTCAAGCATTATCAATTCTCAGCCGAATGATGATGACATGTTACTGAGTTCATGCTTGCCTCGCTCTCATCAGATTCAGCTACAGCATCAGGACCTAATCGACCGGCACCATGCGGTGCTCTCACACCTCCACAAGACGGCAAAGCAAATCCAGTCCCTTCGCCAGGACAATGTCAACCTCAAAATGGCTAACATCGACTTGAACCACCGCCTGAATTTGTTGCTCGGTGCCACTTCATCATTTGGGCTGTCGGGTCTGGATCCAGGTTCCAGTTCTGGTTGGGGTCCTGTTGTGGATGGGTTGGGGAAGATGAGTTTGGGAGGTGAAGATGGACGGGGTGGAGAAGAGGAGTGGGACAATGAAATGACGGCTGCATTATCTGAAGGTCTTAGTGAGAGTCCGAAGAGTGTGGTGGATTTGGGTCGGGTTGGAGGGAGTGGGGAAGAGCGAGTTTCGTTGCCAAAAAGTATTTCAGTTCGGTCCAGTGGATATCTGAAGACGGTTCGTGCTGTTGGGATGAGCAGTGGAGGAGTTCAGGCTAAAGCATTGGACCGGAGCAAGACGGTAAAGTCTGCTAACACTCCCTTTTGTTTCTGATACTTTAGAAAATGACATCCCTTCATTGGGCTAGATATAAGTTTTGTGGTCTCATGCTTTGAAATAATGTAATGTAAATCCTGTAATTATGTTTGGATATATGTGTTATTAATGGTAAACGATAAGAGTAATTAGTAATGGATGGGATGTATTAGTTTAAGCTTCATTGGGAAGTCCTCATAACTAATATTTACTTTTGCTTCATTAACCAAATCAATTTAAAAAACTTCTTGAAAGTCCTCTTATAACATGTTCGGGGTCGTTTATTTTAAAGATAAACTACAATTGTGTAGCTTAATTTTAATATTGACTCGCCTATAGTCAAAATAAGCAAATATAAGCCATACATTTGGAGCTTATCTTTAAGATAAACCACTTAAAGAGAAGATGGAAGATGAAGAGTTTCTAAAATGAGGCGGAATGTACAAGTTCTTTACACTGTGGCACTCAAGCATTATCCACGGTTATTGTGTGAGTATATCTAGCTCAAGTTGCATTACCGAATAATTCCATGACCATTGTGTAAAAGCATGTGAAATAATCACCAAAATTCCGTTTTGGTTTTGAGCTGAGATCTAGTTTTTAAAATGATATCACAAATCAGCTTATTAACCACAGGATGCTGAAAACATTTGTCATTCATTCAAAATAAAACGGTCAAGGAAATATTGTTGTTGAAATGTACGAAACGACATGCTGGGATATTGATTATATTTAGGAAAATTTTTGTTATACATAAAAATTTGTACATAATGGTGTCCCCACTCACATGCCCATATTTAGGTGGGGCATGTGAGTGGGGGACATCATTATATGGGCATGTGAGTGGGGGACACCATTATATGGGCATGTGAGTGGGGGACACCATTATGTGCAAATTTTTATGTATACATAGCACACTCCTTATATTTATTTATATCATGCAATTTGAGGTGTATATGTGATAGTTTCAGTTGTTGTTTTGTCAGTGTTATAGTTTATAAGACTATAATATGCATAATAGAGCTTCAGATTCACATATTAGGAACTGTAGTAATGAATATTTATGTTTAACTTTATTGATCGAATTTTGATTCTATGATTATTAAGAAGAACCATATTGAACAATGTTTACATGTGTTTTTGTCACATGATAATAGCAGTTTCTTATGAGTTTACATGCATCTTTAAGAGTACATAATGAGTATTAGTATCAGAAAAAGCCCATTGGTAGGAAAAAAAAAAAAACATTACAAAGCCAATTGGTAGGGGGAAAAAACATTATAAATTAGGTACATCTGAAACGTTCTCTGCCAGGAGCAACTACGATATATAAGATTTCCTAAATTTTAATATGAGATATTTCCATGAATTACAAGTGTATTGCTCTCAAATCCATTCAATAGCTAATAGATGCAGCCAACTTTTATCATTCATTACTCAATAAAATGTATTTTCTTATGTGGTGATATAAATTTTATGATGATAATGTAGCAAAGAGTGTATGTGAATGGGGGGAAGAAAGCAGAGGAAGCTCTTGAACTGGAGGTGTATAATCAGGGCATGCTCAAGACTGAGCTATGCAACAAATGGCAACAGACAGGTACGTGCCCGTATGGAGACCACTGCCAGTTTGCTCATGGCATTGAGGAGCTCCGGCCAGTCCTTCGACACCCTCGCTACAAGACTGAGGTGTGCCGAATGGTCCTCAGTGGTGACCATTGCCCTTATGGCCACCGCTGCCACTTCCGCCATGCCCTCACTGACCAGGAGAAATTCATGAGATCAATGAATACCAGGTCACTCAAGCCTCTGAACTATCGGTAACATCTTCAGATTATCGTAGTTATATGATACAACCCTCCAAATAATGGGAAAACTTCCAAAAGTTGGCTGTTGTAAGTACAATAATTGTATCGTAAATAGCTAAAATGTACTTCGACAATTTTGTGCCTCCTTTACGTTAGACATGGTATATGATTGTCATAGCCCAGTAAACTCTTTTTGTAACGATACAATGATGTTTGGTTTGGCTAAGCAACTTATGATTGTCCTGTTCATTTATTCTTTCGATTTCAAATTTCTATGAAGGCTAGATCATTTTCATAATGTAATTATTTATACATCTGGCAGGATGGATCGCGTTGTTCCATAAAAGGAAGGGACAAAAATAATGTAAAATGCAGTTGAGCTTTACTCATTATTTGTAAAATACAGTGGAGTCAGCCAGTGTTTTTGTCACGTGAAGCCAATATATTGCTTGAGCTAGAGAGCCACAACAGAAGGAGATACATTTGTCTAGTTTCAAATACGCTTTTCTAGTTTTGATTGGTATGGGTATGTTATATAATTGTATCTCCTTATATTTGGGATGACACGTGTCTGAAGTAGTAATTAATAGATGCAGATAAAATGCGACCAATCTTGCTTAAATGGCTGAAAAAAGAGAGACTATATGTTTACGTGGTAGGACCACTCATTAAAATGATGGTGTTTTAAGGGAAAATTATATAGAATTAAGATAATGTGCTAGAAAATATTTGTTCACCTAGTTGACATACACTCACATGCATGTGAGATCCACGTGAAATAAAAAATAACAAAAAATGCTTCCCCCTCCCCAACGTGAGTGTTGTGTCTCCCCGGCAACATAACTATATGTATATATCCAATTTAGGTTTACAATTCTTGAAAATTTATGAATATCTCCATGTGTTTTGCCTTAACACATGTCCATTCATGCCTTTTCTTTTATTTGAATGTAAGGTTACAATTTATATACCTCAATTTAGGTCTAAAATATTGTCTCAAGATGGTAGGGAACCAAAATATTTGTCGAATCTCTCAAATTGCTAGAAATTAAACTTTCACTTGTGCTGTGTGATCATTGTTTCCTCTTTCTTGTTCAAATTGAGTTCTTAGATATTGTAATTAAAGTCCTTCAACTTTCAAACGTGACTCATTCATCCTCAACTTACATAATATATCCACCTATAATTCTTTCTGATCAATTCCTTTTCACCTATCCTTGTCCAATATCGAGTTTTCTTCCTAAAATAACCAATAAATATATAAAGCTAATTATCTCATTTGTTAAACTATTCTCAAATGTCATTTTCATGGTCAAGATAAATGTAATATTTACATTTATCAGGTTGCAATATTAAGTTATAAATAAAGTAATTGATGATCAATTTTGGAGTTGATCATCTGTCGGAGCGGATCCGGGATTGATGAAAAACAAAAAAAAGAAAATTAACACGGACTAATAGGGGGGAAAAATTACACATAACAAAAATATTTTTCACCAATTTTTTTTTTAAATTTTATTTTTTACACACCTAAGTGGGCTCTCCCTACATCCTGTTAATTGAGTTAATATATGACGCAGACAATGAAAGAGAATCTTTCAACTTGCATGCCATCATAAAATTAGTTGGATATGATGTTCTCAACAAACTTATGTGGATGTTAACGAGTGACTTGGAAATAAATGCACTTTTATAGCTGGCATTAATGGATCAAATTGAGATTTTTAATTAATTTTTCATCAAGTTGCCATAAAATGTGTGGTTCATCGAAGTCCAAACCTCGCTCTAATCCTCTTTCTAATTATAAATTAGCGTATCAAGTTGTCGAGGATCTATGCAAATCTTTTTAGACAGATGATTGTTGTCCGATTGGTCTATTCCTCCACCGCCTTAATGCATTTTTTCACGACATGATTATTCGTAGAAATCTCCAAAACTTGTTCAATGTCTATTTGGCAATAATTTAGACCAAAATACCCTTATTAACAATTTATAATTCCACACTAAAAACAAAAATGTGCATGCAATAAAAAAATTTATTGGCCTCTAGAAATGTCCAAAACTTGTTCAATGCCCATTTGGCAATAATTTAGACTAAAATACCCTTGTTAACAAATTGTAATTCCACACTAAAGACAAAAATGTGCATACAATTAAAAATTTTATTGGCAAATAAAATTTTGAGCGTACCCTATTTATTTTAAAAGGACACATGTCAAATCACAATAAATAATATTTTTCTCATTGACATGAGTGTTAAATGTTAAGAACTTTATGAAGAAAGGTAGAGAACTCTCATATTCGAAATGAAATTTCATTCTAGACAAATAAAGTATCAAGATAAACAGAGCTCAAATATTGATAACAATTTTTTAAAATGTCGAAAACATCATTTTAGTGTCGCTTCTCATGAAAAATACTTCTTCTCATTTTTATTTAATGGTTGGTCATTTATGATTTTGGATAGACTCGATGGTTAGTCGAATCAACCAAAGACTTGGTTGGATCAATTCTAGTAAGTTTACACACTGTAAATGTCAAGTTTATATCCATCTCACTGCTTATGTAAGCATGGAACGGTCCACTTGGTAGCAATTAGATACTTTTGTACCTTATAATTACTTCGGATTTTGTTACACGAACGGGTTAGTGACAATAGTTAAAAACTAGGGAACACGTGTCAAAATTTCTTTTAATAGTTTGGGCAAAAAAATAAAAAAAAAAGGAGAGGAGCCACACGGGTGCTTCCTATTGGAATGCAGAAGAAGAATTACCCAGAAATTTTAAAAAATAAAATTAATTCAATAAACAAAATCGTCTAGATATCTCATGTATATTATATAAATAATAAAGGATTCGATTTTATTTTATTTTTTTACCTAAATTCAATTATCAATTTTGAATTAATTCTAAATCCCGAACTTCCAACCTTTTGATTATGAACTTCCAACCTTTTGATTACCAACCCGCTATGTCCAACTAACCTCACCCAGCAACCCTACATCCTACTACATAAATATTAAACATATATAAAAATTGTTTGTTAAATGCGGATTTTGTACTTGAGAATTGGGATATTTTTTATATTTTCATTTGGGACATTGTTTGCTAAATTAGCTTAGTAATAGTGTTTTCGTTTTCATTGACCTTTTTTCATAAATTATTTTTTCTAATTTGACAGCTGGATTTATAAAAACCAATTTATTTTTGTGGTTATTAATCACCCGAATCAATATACGAGTCGAGCCGAACCGAACCAACTTACGTGATTATGATGCGATTATGGTATGACAAAAAAATTGATGGTTTGGTGATAATTTTGGTCGAACACATCCCGAAATGAATCGTTGCCAACCCTAATTACTTCATACTTGTTGCTATGCTGTTTTCAAGAGGTAGGTTTTTGTTCACTCCTTCCTCATATACTAGTCTTTTTACATGATTGAGAAAGTTATTAAGAATGTATAGATATCTTTGCTAAAAGAAAAAAAATAAAATAAATAAAATTATAGCAAATAGAAGATGCATTTTTGAAATATGTTAATGTCTTTCTATTTGTTTATAAAAAGTGATGAATTGAGAGGTCGAAAATGCATTGAAAAATAAGTTTAAAATAACATATTTCACCCTATTTCCTTCGTGATATTACTCAAAACATCCCTAAGTGATCCTTTAAAAGTGAGATACTCTCTATTTTTAAGAGTTAAGTACTAAAATTATGTTATAAAAAAAATTCGAATTAACATTTTAAAATAGAGAGGAATAAAGCCACTTAACCATATTGAAAGATGGGGAGTGAAAAAACAGACTGATGTGCCAAAAAATGATTAGATATTTTTGTTTTAATTTTTCAAACGTCCAATCATGTGTCGACACATGTCTCATCTGAATTTGAGTCTGGATGTATAGAATGATTGAATAGAAAGTAGATTTAACTCTCTAAATTTAAAAAGTCAAGCTTACTCTCTATAATTAAATGCATTCAACATATTATAATTTTCAATGCCTTGACCCCAACTAAATAGCACATCCAAAAAAATAGAGAAAAATAATATAATAATTTGTAGGGTCAATTTGGCGAAAATAAGATATAATGAAAAATAATAAATACATATCTTGAGAAGTAAAATTAAGCCCTCATTTGAATCCTATTTTTCTCAAAACTCATTGTTTTAACACACAATTTACACAAAAACCTTTTTTTTTCCTATTTTATAATTACATTCCTCAAAAAATCATTATCGCAAAAAGACCAAGGGTCTGTTTAATTACAAAAATGAAATTTGGGTAAAAAAATGAATTTCAAGAAATTGAATTGTCTAGAACTTGTTTTCCTGAAAATTGTCAAATAATGTGTTTGATTGGTATAATTTTCTACCTGAAAATTTTTGAAATTTCTATCTTTTGGTGTTTATTTGGCTTTATTTTTCATGAAAATTGTTAATTAAAGGGACAAAATTTGTTACAATTGAGGATAGAATTTGTTCCAATTGCAAATAATAATAATAATAATAAATAAAAAATCGGCTTGCAAACCAATTCCCACATAACCAAGGAAATTGCACATGTGTGGGAGGGGGAAGGAAAACAAATTGCCAAGAAAATTATTGCTATCAAACATGTCAAAAGGTGGAAAATGAAATATGTTTCATTTTCGATCGAAAATCGGCCAAATAAATAGGCCCTAAGTGTTAAATATAAAGAGACTATTTAATATATTTTAAAATTTTTACTCTCTATATTTATTAATACTCTTTAAATCATAAAATATATGCCCTTTAAAAATATAAAATATCATGGATGCCAGGATAACGTAGTGTCTTCTTAGTATTTGCTATTATTGTCCAAGGTAGAAATAAAGTCAAAAATATAGAAACTTGGTTGAGTTTTGTTATTTGTACTCGGAGTTTGACACTTTGAGTTACCTGGTGTGAGTGAGAGGGTCGAGCCCGACACATTTATTGACGTGTGGTCCCCAACCCCAATGTAAGTAGTTGGTAACTCAGAACGTCAAACTCTGAATACTTATAGCAAAATTCAGAATGTCAAACTCTGAATACTTATAGCAAAATTCAGGGTACCTGTAGCAAAATTCAATGCGTTAGAACACCAATACGTAAAGGAAAACGAAAACGAAACTAATACATCAAACAACGGTTACGTAAAACATTGCAGAAACCAGATCGGACCCACCACACATGGGCTTCTTGACCACGTTGAAAATTTCTAGTCCCACACACATTTCCTCT